CCAGGTGACACATCACCAGATCGATTCCTCTATCCAAAGCGCGATCTTCATTATTTGGAAGTACTATTCGCCCTTGCAAATAGCAAGTATTGGCTCTCACAGCTCCGCCAAGACAGCTGCGACCACATGCAGCGGTGTATTTCCATAGCCAAAGCTATCCATACACCGTCTCATGATGAAGATTACAGAGAACTCTCACTACGACTAGTTCTGATATTTGCCCGCATTGCCTGCGCTGACAACGATGTCTGGCCGGAGTAAGACCTCTGGTTTCATCCCTCTTCTCATCGCGTTCACGAACAAGATGCTGTCGAGTCTTAGGGGTGTGAGCGAAACAGGCTTGGCAATTGTTCCTAAGGACAAAGTGATTGCGACCCTGGATGGCATTTCAAAACAGGTGCAGATGGTGGTGGACGCTCGTATGGATGTAGACAAGATGCAGAATACTTCGAAAGTCCTCGGTAGGGAGGTGGCGGACGCTCATATGAATGCAGACGAGATGCAGAATGCTTCGGAGGTCCTCGGTACGGAGGTGGTGGATGCTCGTATGAGTGCAGACGAAATGCAGAATGCTTCGAAGGTCCTCGGTACGGAGGTGGCAGACGCTCATATGAATGCAGACGAGATGCAGAATGCTTCGGAGGTCCTCGGTACGGAGGTGGTGAATGCTCGTATGAATGTAGACGAGAGGCAGAAAGCTTTGGAGGTACTCCTCAAGGAGATGGTAAAATCGAGGGACGAGCTGTTGAGGTATTTCGGTGCGTAGTCGTTGATATTGAACAAGCGCTGGCATAGGATCTTGTAAATGACTAATTGTACATAAGCTACTGAGATAACACTCTTGACGTCAAAAGCTCTTCAGCCGTGTCGATGATTTCCACTCCCGCCTTGTCCATTCTAGACCGTCATCAGAGACACTCCTGACCGCATTCCTGATCACAAATGTCCTGAACCCGTATTTCTTTGCATCGAGTGCAGTAGACTTGACGCAATAATCTCCCGCTATGCCGACCACGAAAACATTTGATATCTCTTTGTTCCTCAGCTTGTCGGTACGTCATTCATCATGCCAATCCACTGTATTCCGCAAACAAAACATTCATCAAGATACTAATAGTACATTCGTTCTGCCAATCTGAGTCATACGCCATCTTTCAACAACTGCTTTGGTACGAGAGCGGTGTTCAAGCAATGGTGATGTGAACGACGAAGGACTTTCCGTCGGCCGCCTCCTGGACGTACTTCACATTCACTTTGGTTCCCTTTGCGCTGGTCTTCTCGATCTCAGACAGTTGCTCCCACAGCAACTTGTTCTGAGCGGTGCCGTCTGTGTAGTACTCGGGGTGGATCTTCATTCCCGTGTCTCCAGGTGCGAGGTCAGTGCTGATGTCGCACCACCTCTTGTAGTTGTGGACGCCTAGCATCACGAGAAACACCTCCCCGGTACCGCACATGAAGCGGAGCCCACCAGACGTACCGCTGCCACCCATGGTGAGTGTCTGGATCGAGTCTGTGTTGGACCACCTCCCGCCATTGGCGTAGTGCCACACCGTTTTCTCGGCGAGCGTGAAATTGGAGTTGTTGTTGGTAGCGTCGATGACTCTGACTACGATTGTGTAAGACATGTTGGTTCTGTGGGGTCATGTCAGACAACGATGTCACGATGATATGCAAGGCTGAAATCTAACCTGATTGTGAAGAGGACGGGATCTGGAGAAAACAGTGTAGTACATCGCAGGCTTTTTATACGACGAGCACTCGTTGCCGGCGTTAGCCCTGACCCCGGACAGTAAGGGCGAGTCCCCCAGCTGTTGGTCCAACGTGGGCCAGGTGTGATGACAAGTGTTGTGGCCTCATGATCATGAGGGCATGTTGGCTTGCTTCCATTCATACGTGCCGGTATGTCATTCCATCTCCGAGATGTAACAGCAGGAATCACCGCATAACTGACAATTGCCTCGGAAGGTTAGGTTTGAACGCTAAGAGAGACCCAGGCGAGCTGGTCACTCTTTCGGTAATGGTGAACATACGGCAAACTGCTTAGCTTCCTTTATTCAACTGCCAAGCAGAATTTCAATTTTTTTTTCTAGTAGCGGTGAGTCGAAGCCACTGTCTGCATGCAAATCATCTGACTATGCTACCGAACTACTGAGCACCCCTTGAACAAGAAAATATGATATTGGGGATAACTCTCCGCCCCGACGAGACTCGTGTCTGAATTTATTGACTGAACCCTGACTTGCGCTCCTTCTTTTCTTCGATTTGCACTGATTGGGGATTCAGACTGGGGCGAACGATTGTGCCTGGCAGAAATCGCTGGCACGGCCCCGGAGTGGCCATTCCCCGGACGTTCTCGCTCTCGTAAGTAACGAGAGTATACAAGCACGAGTTCAGTCCATGCAACGCCGAATGGAGTCGTGAGTCATCGGGGACAATTGGAGAAAAGAAAAGACACTCGAGTTGCGCCTTTACTACAACGATAACCAGACTGGGAGGAAATACGAACGCTCATTTCCGCTATAAAAAAAGGAGGTGTGAAGCATGCGCAGCCATATGTCAAAGACATTTTACCAATTGAATAGTATTATGATTCGAAAATGGCCTTGAAGCTTGAACTACTTGCAATAAGATCTCAAATACCTCAATGAACCGAATTTGATCCCGAAGTCGGACGCTATCGTGTTACATGCTATAGTCAGATTCAGAAACACTTGGATATTCGCCTCGTCTCCCCAATATCATATTTCCCCATTCGTTGACATGAAGGGGGGTGATTGAATTCGGCGGAGTACTTACATAAATAATTCATATGCAGGCCAAAATTCCCCACTCCTATGTACGTCAGACTGGTCGCAGTGGCTTCAACTTACCGAGAGCAGTTCGATTCTCCGGAATTCTGTTCTATAGGTGGGTGTTGAATAATTTATAAGAATGCGTCCGGTCAGGTGAAAAGTAATGGAGTTCCAAGAAGCCGAAGGATCTTGCAACATCGAGATTTAAAATTTATTTTCGTTCACTCAGGATCTTAGGGGTTCGAACGTTCAACGTTGCGTACGTCAAATGTTGAACTTGTACGTAAATTCATTATGGATGATCGTATGGAAGCTCAGAAGTATTGCCGTATATCCATCGTTTCGTGACCAGCGTGCCTGAGCATCTCTTATGTAGCCTCCAAAGAAAAGAAGTGGTTCAGTTTTGAGATCCGAAGTAGTCGTCAGTCATGCGGTGACTCCTGCTGTTAGCATCTCGGAGATAGATTATCATACCAGTACGGATGAACTGAAGAAGCTCAACATGCCCAAAGGCTGTGTGATAATGCATAAGTCGCAACATGTAGCGGTAACAAATAAAACAATCACCTGTGAACGATCTCATTGAATGATCGAATAGGAAACATCGATCATGAACGTTCTACCTCGCTATTTTGCGCTTCTTCCAAAAATTTCTCAGTGCTTGAATGACGGAATACTTCTCCACGAGGTTGGGACGCTTGGCCTCTTGTAGCATACCGTTCAACCGTTCATCGATGCATCGTCCATGATCAGGATGGCGAACATTGTCTCGTCATCTTCAATCCCAATTTCCTCAGGTATCGAGTGGTCCATTTCCCCGTGAACATGTACCGCTTCGTTTCGAAACGTCCTGAATATGCTGCACGTTGTATTTAAACCCGGCTGACAGGTTGGGCACATATGAGACTGCAACAACATGATTGAGGAAGCGATCGACTCGCCACGATTTGATGAACGTTTTTCTAGATGTTCGGAATTGCTTATCCTGCACGAGTCATCGACGTATAAATCGTGGAGGTCCTGATAAGATCTACCGCCAGCTATACAGATCTTCCAGAGTTGACATTACGCGAGCGCCAGAAGCCTCTGAGAAGGCGCTCCTCTTCGGACCTTCACTAGAAAGATGCGTCGATAACCACCGTGGCCATACTTCGATGCTTTAGCCAAGCAAGGCGGGGCCGACTTGGGCGAAGGGTGACACATTTGTCGTCGAGAGCGTAACCTCGGAGATAGACTAATGCACCTTCTCGTCGGATCACTAGAAACATCTAGTATTGATCAGAGTACAATCCTAGCGCATGATAGCGATGACTCTAGAGTGTCGATTTCAACGTTTCACGCTAGTACCTGGGTAGCACCGTATTAGCTTAGTCAGCCGCCCAGTTTCTCCGGTAGGCTATATCGTCACTTGACACGCCGCGGCAGGCACAGGGTCGCGAATATAGTGTTTCAACGCCAATGAACCACTCCCAGTTCGGACCAGTCTCCCCTAATAGTGGCCAGAGTCCAGACCATAGAGGAAGACAGCCGTTCCACTAAATTGTACTTGAAGGACTTGGGTACTCGTGCACTGGCCGCGTACTTGCACTGTATGCCATTCGGACTGATCCGTGAAGTACGCCTCTTCGCTTGAACGAAGTGTTGTAGTATATATATGCTTGATTCAGGCTGTCCTGTCACGACGGGCTGGGAAGCTGTGAGCGCTTGAGCCTGTGACCAATATTGAAAAAAAGCAGAAGTTCGCTCGTAACTTAATCAACACAGGATACTGCCATACTGGCAGTGGCAGAAAAAAAAAGTTCCAGAATGTCATACCGTGTCTTTGGATTCAACGAGAGTTCTTTTTAGCCGATTTACGAATGTTTTACCGAGTGAGAACATTTCGCAAGGTTGTGGCAAGAAGAAAGATGCATCGGTCACGGTGTGGCATGTAAACTTGTTGAACTGCATGGTCACCGTGACGGTTAGGCTCGTGATCAGCCTGGCTTATTACCACGGACAAGTCGAGTGGTGAAGCCAGGCTGGTCGATCTCGGAGAAATTTGGCAGGCGAAGCACGGAGTTTGAAATTTAGCAGGTGCCGGTCGTGCCGAAGCCCTTTAGGTTTCCATGCGGCGTCGACAACACAAGTCCTTCATTCACATCGTACAAAGTACTGTATACATCATAGCACATCGAGCAACTGTACTGGATATTGAATAAGGTGATAAAATGATACCATTCGATGTATTCTATCCGCCCATTCCCCAACAACAGCCACCTGTTGAAGTTGAACCTTTGATTTGGACTGTCGACCCTTCGAGCCTTGACCAAGATAAAAAATCCCATTCCTTGCAGAAAGTAATGATATCATGCATTTGAGCTGAAATAATTTAGGATGTTGTGTTCCTTGTGAAATAAAGTCGAGTTGCGCGAAAGCTTCGAGAGTTTGTTGGCTTTGTTTCGTTGAAAGGGTCTCATAAAGTCCACTGGTAGATTGTTGATAGCTTCTAGAGCAGCACACGACAAAGGTGGGACAGAATTGATCAACAAACTCATGGCAGGGGGTTAACATAGTAGCACACAGTCTAGCTAGACCTACTCTACTACCGTCACGGTATGATGAGTATCACCAGCACCTGCTGAAATTCAAACTCCGTGCTTCGCCTGCCAAATTTCTCCGAGATCGACCAGTCTTACTACGTCAAACACTTAACAACATCTCAGACGTAGTAAAGACTGGTTACGAGTCTACGTGACGGTGTGGCAGTTATGTAAGTCAAGCTTACTTACTGGCAGCCATGTTAACTACTATGGCCAGCCACGCGCAACGAGCTTTTCTTTCCTTTCCTTTTCGACGCTGTCTCCACACTCGAAGACGAAATCGACCTTCGCTACCTTGACTTCGCGTGCGAATCCGTTCATCCCACAACTACCACATTCACGTCTTTCTCGTGCTTTATCCCAAACGTTTGTCTGCTGCCTTCCATTCACAATCGTGGACCGCTAACGCTCAACAAGACAGCATAAATGAAACATCATATCCTCCACGATCCATTTTAATTGTGAACAAGCTTCGAACTGAGCCTGTGATTGGGGCAATTGATGAACTACTGGAGTACGCAATAGTCTTCCTGTGTTATTTCAGCCGATTAACAGGTGGTGCCTAACATACAACAGTCATGTAGCGAAGACGTATCCGGGTGTGAAAGTGTTCTCTGAAGACCGCCCAGACATTCCATTCGGCGCACAAGTGTGGCGTCCGGTGAGTAGATTGTACACGCCGAAACAACCTGTTTGAATAAATCCATCACAGGGCCTCATGCCGAGAAAATTGATCTTGTCGTGACTCTTGGAGGTGACGGTACCATTCTCCATGCTGCGTCACTCTTCAGTCTTGCAGCGGTCCCTCCTGTGCTAAGTTTCTCAATGGGCATTGGGCACCCTTGGCTTTCTCCTTCCATTCCGTATGTGCACACGCCAATGCCAGGACACCACTAAACATGCGATAGATATCGATGGCTTGTGAAAGGGCTCGAAGCAGTGTTTCAGGGCAAGGCAACCATCCTCAATCGCATGCGTTTGTCGTGCATGTTCTATGACAAGGATCGCAAAAAAATAGGGTTCGGTGACGATGGTCGGGATAAAACAGTGCAAGTATGTACCCACGATGCTGACACAATTCTAGAATGGCAAGTCACGAATGAGATTGCGCTACACCGTGGGTCAAGTCCACACCTTAATACCATCGATATTGTGTAGACGGGCAACATCATCCCGAGCACCGTGCGTAACTGATTTCCGCAGTCTGATGGGGGTGATTGGTGTCAACGCCTACGGGATCAACTGCATACTCTCTCTCAGCTGGAGGGGCCTATCGTATGTCCACGAGTTTATCGTGTAGACCTCTCGTCTTCCCCTCATCCTCATCTTTAACACTGGCGTGTGAGTCATGCGTTGGTGTATCATGTACAACACGTGGGAGCTATTACTCAAACTTTGATTGACACTATTAGAGTCAGTGATCGTCCCCGTGCTGCGGCTGGCGTTTCGATAGGACGGGCGTGTATCGCATATTCTTAATCCAGGGGAGTCAGTTATTATACAGGCCTTCACTATACTCATTGCCTTGCATTAACCGCATCCTCCATATCCGATTATGGAGA